AGGCTAGTTCATATAATTCTAGCTGAAAATTAAGTAACAAAGGTATTTCTAACGTTTGCAACAGAGTAAGTTGTACAGACATCTAGCCTCATTTTAGTTGTAATTTGTACATTGTTGCATCTGTGTATATACTACTGGCAGTCTGAAATGCTGTGGCTCAATCAAGGCAGTGTCATGCTTGAGAAGCTGTACCACAGCCTTGCAGAATGAGCAACTCCTGCAGCACTGCATTTCATGGCAATTCCCTTAACTGAAGTTAAATCACATGCAGGTAGATGTGTTGTTTTCATCTGCAGCACAAATTTAACCACCATCATCACTGTGGTCTCAGTCTGCATGCTGTTTGTCTTCCTTCTGAGGTAGCACAAGCTTAATGCTACAGTACATTAATTTCACTAATCCCTCCAGAATGTGTCTGTAGCAATCCTGTACATCTATACTTCACTATGTTTCTGTCGTATTCTTCCTTTGCTTCTTGCACTTATTATTTGTAGTTCTGCCTATTCTACAGGCTCCTTTTTTTCTCACAAGAGGAAAAAAGGAAAAAATATATATTTGCATTTCATTTATAAAATAGATTTTTTTTTTTGAGTGCTTAGTGCTTTTATTGTAGTTTTGGTTTTCAAACTGTGAATGAGGTTCCACGTATAGTTGTGTGGGAATATTTCCTTGCATAAAGATTAGTGAATCTTAATTGTGGCCTTGGAATTGCTTTACCATGTTGAAGTCTTTTTGCTTGGTTTTGAATACAAGTAGAGTTTTCTGTAATTATTCAAATGCTGAATTCAACTGTACGAAAGAGGATGAAGGCAAAATCCTACTCATGTTGCTGTTCCTCAAGCTGTGTACAGCAGCCATCTGCTCCTTTGTCTGGCACCCAATAAGGCATTTTGAAATCATGCCTACCCATTCCTCCTCTCTATTCAACAGAGGAATGGGTAGGCATGATTTCAAAATGCCTTGGTGGGCACTACATATCATCTTAGATGATATTACATATCATCTTAAAAACTGAGAAAGGCCATGGATGAATGAACAAGTGAAAGCATTGCAAGGCGTATTTCTGTTTGTTTCACTGGTTTGGCGTGTCCTCACCCTGTGATTTCTTGATTCACAGATGTCTTATGATATGTTCTTAAAAGGCTATTAATTAAGAAATACTATTGTTAGTTTTAGATAGGTTTTGTTGCTGTTGTCGTTATTGTTTTTCACTTGGGCTCAGGAACGTTTGTTTCTCAGTAACACTTGTTATAGATTACCTGAAGAGGTGAGACAGGATCTGTGAGAAGAGGTGATATCTTTTATGAGACCAATTGATGTAATCAGAAAAAACAGATTAACTTTCAGCTACGCTCAATTTTTCACACTGGAATCTGTCGGCTTTGAACTGCCTAATAACTGCCTTCTCTGCCTGCAAAGGAAGAAAAGCAGTTTCTTCTTTCTCTTTTTATGAATAATTTTATTTGGGAGTCATGCAAGATATTGGAGCAGTTAAATTTTTCTGCAACTAAGGCTGATCATTGTGTTTATAACTGATTCATTCTTTTAATTCTTAGGAAAATAATGTAGTATGTTTTCATTCAGGACAATACTCTCTTTTAATCCCAGATTATTTTAGAGACGATCTGAAGTGTAAACGAACCCATTAAAAATGTGGTATCTCACTGATACCTTTATGGTTTGGAACCTTAACTGAGAAGCTTTCTCTTCATGTGTCAGTATGTTTTGAGGCCATCACTTTTAGATTATGCATATTCTAATTTTCCCATTACTTTATGATATTCTTTTTTAAAAAAATAATATAATGAGACAGGCATGGCTTCCCAGTAGTCTTCTTGCTATTTGCTAGATTCAGTACAAATAAATACGTATCTACTGCAGGAATATTGTGTGTTAGAGACATATTCCATCTGAGTGGTAAACTTTGAAATAATTGGAAGAACAACGCAGATGCTAAAATTTATAATTTCATACATTATGAAATGTATCTATGTATGAAGTTATTTTTTATTGTTCTTGCTCAGACTGAGTGCCATTATGCCCCATGAAAAGTCCAATTAGAATCTGAAAGGAGAATTTACAAAGTAGTTTACAAAGAGCTGAAAACCACAGGCTGGTTCTTATTATGGGTATCTCCATGGGTTAAAAAAAAATAGAAGACAATCTGTTCACTACGTTGCAAAAAGCCATGTTAGTAAAGAGGCATCATTATTGCTCTAAATAAAGCAATTGTGTTATTTCAGATGTTTTTTATAGCATAGGAAATGGATGTGGGATGCATTGAGGTGTTTGGCATTTTGTGGTGGTAGTGCTGCAAGATTCTGAAGTCATCAGCCCACCTCCATTTCTGTGAAGCTGAGGGCCCTCATCATCCTGTGGAAATACTGCTGGCGAGGTTTCCCTGGGAGCTTTTTAGCACAAGCACTATTCTGCTAAGAGATGTTTTCCACGGGTCCTTGTCCTTGTTACCCAAGGACAGCAAACTGAATGTTTCCTGGCGTATATTACAGGAATGCATCTTGCTAAGAGTGTATTGAACACTTTTTTGCATGTTGCTGGGCTATATACATTGAGCTTCATGACACTATTTCATTTTTAGGCACCTTAGAAGGGCAGAGGCATTCCTTGAAAGATAGAAAATAAAGGACATATAAAACTCAGAACAATGTCATCTGAAAGTTCACATCTTGATTGATAAGTCTGGATTTTTGTTCTTTTTCTTTGATATGTTCTTACTTTTGTCTGTTAGCTGAATAATAGATTGTTATTTCAATATATTTTGACTTGGAACCATTTGTCTTGAAGGTACTTTTTTCACCTTTTTCTTTTAGATACTTTATGATATAGTTCTATAATTTTGTTGTTGTTTTTTTCCTACACAAATGTAAATAAATTTTTCAGCGTTGAGTAGCACCACATGAAGTCCTACCTTCATTTGATGAAAGACTGAATTCAAAAGAAATCATAGAATGGCTTGGCTTGGAAGAGATCTCAAAGATCATGCAGTTTTAAATTCCCTTGCTGTGAGCAGAGTTGAAATCGCTAAATCGCTAGATCAGGCTGCCTAGGGCCTCATCCAACCTGGCTGTAAATGCTTCCAGGTTTGGATCATCCACAGCTTCACTGGGCATCCTGTGGCAGGGCCTCATCACCCTCTCAGTGAAGAATTTTCCCCTGAAAACTAGTGTAAGTTTCCCCTCTGTTACTTTAAAACCGTTACCCTTGTCCTGTCACTATCCATCCATGTAGAAAATTTTATTTCCCTCTTGCTTAAAAGCTCCTTTTAGTATTGGAAGGCTGCTATCGGATCTCCCCTAAGCCTTAATAGTAGGTATGTATAGTATTTAGCTACTCCATTCTGTGACAAAAGTTTTGTTGAAAGTGGTTTGCTATCAATCTTATCTAAAAATCCATTGTCACCATTCCTAATACGCCAGAATCCTAGCAATGCATGCCAGCCTTGGAGGCAAGGACCCTCTCAGTGTTCCACCTTAGTGTGTACTGTTACATCATTAAGTCTTACTAGGTTATCTTGCTTCCTTTGTATTCTCTCACTGATATATCAGTGGAGAAATAATTGTAATGCATTCAGTATTTTAAGGCCTTGCTCTACTGCTTTGTTCTACTTCCTAGAAACCTTTCTGGTGTCTATATTCATTAGTTAATTCCCTTCCCTATACCTTGAAGATATATCTATCACTATGACCTTTTTTCCTTTTCCTCAGTTTCACCTAAGTAAAGTACGTTAGGTCTTTTTTGTTGTTGTTCTATCAACTGAAGTAATTAACTGTCTGTGTTTAAATCTTTAGCCTTAGTCTTTTGATACTGTCCTAGTTAGAAGGCATGGAGTAGAGGAAATATTTGAGAACATGTCAGCATAGGAATGACAGCGCTTCACATTTGAATGCCGAAAAAGACGCTCTCTCTCCTTTTAATTTAAATTATGATTATGTTTTGGTTTATGGCTATTGCAAGCAGGACGAATTTGGAAACTTTCTGAAACTTTTTACTTTTAGCAGATATGAGTAATTCAAGGAAAACATCAACATCCCTTTTGAAAGTGACTTCATTATAATGATTTTCTTGTGTTGCGGACTTCTTTCAAAGCATCAATACTATTAATGCCAAAGACATTAATATCTCTACATTAACATTTAGATAGAAATTTTATTAGGAGAGTTTCAAATGAAATATGAAGTCTCCCTCTTGCTGTTATAGCATATTTCTATTAAAAAAATGACTTGCTAGTTTAGTTTTTTTGTTGTTGAAAAAATTTTGTGCTGTAACTTTGAAGATACTCTGTTACAAACTCTTCTCAACTCTCCAGGTATTTCGTGATACACTTCTCCTTTTCCTGGAAAGACAAAAGACCAATTCCCCATCACTCTGAGACTGTCCCCTTCAACAGCTGTGTGCAAGTGCCCCTTTGGGTAACATCTTGCAGTATGCGCCCTGTGCAGAAACCATGATGATGATTCAACTCTTTATGTCTCTTTGATCAGCTTAACTTAAACATTATATTATGTGAGCAGGCAGTCTACTATGTATATAAATAGAAGCCCAGAAGATGTCTATTACTGACTACAAATACTGTAGTATACTTATATATGTATACTTATATATATATATACTTATATATATGTATTGTATACTACTGTATAACAAAGTAATGTTTGACAGGAGAGAAAACATACAATAATCTGCTTTGATTTAGTAGGTTTTTGCCCTTTGGCTTGGTGGTTGGGCATGTTATATGATGTACTGTACTGTTTCTCTGCATGGACCTTCTGGCTCCAAGTACTTCAGCTGTTATATTTTTCACTTAAATGACAATCTTTCTCGTTTTAGTACAGCAAAATGAAGATAGCAGCATAAGAAAATGTGTTAACTCTGTTTTTCTATCCTGTCCAGAGAATACTGGCTTCCTGGGATCTTTATAGTAGTCAGCCTTTGGTTCAGTATTTGTATTTGTAATCCCTATGTTTTCTTTTCTGTCACAGGTTTTTCATTATTCTTATACAGCTTCATACGTGATTTACAACATTCACACACGGTAGGAAAAACTGTTCTTTCAATTTGATGTCATTGTCACTAAATCTATAAATAAAGCAATGCCAAAGTATTCAAGTAAAAATCTTTACTTTCTTTTCAAGGGAAGTTTGGGAGTTAAACCCTCCAGAAGTAGAGGATTCAGTATTACAGTATGCGGCATGGGGTGTCCAAGGGCAGCAACTGGTAAGCACAGTCATTCAAAATGCTATGAGAAGCAGTTTAATAATTTATTTACTCTAGACAGAAGTAGAAACAAAAATTAAAAACCTTAAGGTCACTTTTGTTACATGGTTTTTACCTAGAAGCTGCATTAATTGTATACTGGATGTTTTTATCTTTTTGTTCCAGGTCTTTGGGGATGTTTTAATTTTCATAAAAAGTAATATGTCTTACTTTGTTTCTTTGTTTTTTAGTTGTTTTCTTGTTGTTGTTTGAGCTTTTTTTTTTCCTAATAAGCAAAGTCTTTAATTTTGTATTTATTGAAAGAGTCAAACTTTCATCTAAATATGCACCGAAGTAATTCTTATGATAGGCATTTTTATGGCCATGACTATGAGAACAGCAAAATTGAAAGTAAACTTTTTAACTGCACGATCAATGAAAACTGTCTACGGTAGCAAGAGGCTTAACATTCAAAGTGGATATGATAAATCCAATCAATTATTTTTCATTAAGAGTGTTACTGCCAAGGTAATTTGTGCTGCATTTAATTCATAGTAGTAAAAACAAAAATACTGTTTTGTATAATGTTTTCTATCAAAAGTTTTATCATGTTTTATGAACATAAATCACTCTTTGTGACCAACCCCAATATGAGAAGTAAAAAATAGTGATTTTTGAAACAATGTTGATTTTAAACTGATGGTAGATGAAGACAAGAGGAAGACTTATAAAAACCTCTAAGATTCTACTCTCTGAATAGAGAATTCACATATCTTTGAGGTAACAATCTAATAAAATAATTAATGCTAACCTGCCTGATCTGAGAGCCTCTTTGAATGTATGACTTGTTTATGTAGATAGTTTGTAAGTTCGGTGTCTTGCTTATTCATCAGGATGGTGGGAACATAAAAAATGGTTCTGGTTGGAAAGCACTGTATCAAGTAAGTGGAGTCAGGAAGGAAAAAAAATTGGTATGTTTGATATGCTTTAATAATTGACCACATTAATTTACCAATAATGAGAGCATGGTGACAGAATTGATGGCAACCAATATGTGAATTATTTATGAGATGGTTCATGGAATGCAGTGGGCTGTGCAGGTTGTAACAGAATGGTGATGCATTTGCAAAACAGAGCAGAATTAAAAACCATTTTAAATTAATTGCTGTTTGTAAGACTTTTTCTCTGCTATTCTCTACTCTAAGTGCAACTAGAAGTACATGCGGTGATTACTGAGATGTGAATTTTTTGTTTTCCTGAGGTTTGTCTTAAGGGCAGGGACAGACTTAACTATCAAAAGCTTCAGAAAAAAATAAGAAATCAGAATAACACTGGATCTGTTATACCTAGGTTGTCATACTGGAAATAGGTATGAATACCTTTACATACAAGCAGAGATTGCATCCTATTAAGTCTCAGAACTGGAAAAAGAAATAAAGTAACCAGTCTTTTTTAGGTCCCGTCTAAATCATGCAAAATTGAAAAATCGTAATTTATACTTTGATGAAGATAATATTGCTTTTCTTTTTAATGTCCTAGTAAAGTTAATGTCATGCTTTAAAAATATCTTTTCCTGATTCTGAGGCTTTATGCTGCCATATGGTCTTCAGAATCAGAAATTTGTATCTTTGATTAAAACACAAAATCTGTGCACTCTCAATGATACCAAGTATTGCTATATAGATGTAAACTTGCAATGGCAGCATACTTAGGGTCACTTTTATGAGAATCTTTCATAAGAGTGTTCTCTTGAAGCTATTTATATGGCAAAAGGTGATTTCTAAATGACAGATGTGCATTGTCAAATTACCCTTGAACTTCAGCATTCATGTTGAGGTAGACCTCTGAAATGAAAAAGAGTAGAACCATTCCAGTTTTCACTAACTTGGTGCTATGACTGGTCCTTGATGAAATAGTTTGGGATAACACGTGCAGTTGAATCAACTGTTTCTTGCTCTTTAGCTAGAGTAGTGGATTCTGTAAAGATTAAGAGAAAAGCTCAGAGAAACATCTGCTGTTTGAGTCATGACATTTTAGTGTAAGATTAAAACTGCCTTTTGGGAGAGCAAACTTTTATCTAATGAGTTTATGCATTTTAATGTCACATAGCTGTTATTTTTGAGGACTGTTTCCAAGGTTATATTCTTTAAAATACAGTCTTTTGAATGTGTTAAAACTGTGCTAGATCTAAATACTATTTCTGTGTATCTTGATATGTTAGGGATTTTTTTATGTAGTTATTAAGTGTTTGTCATATTTGCTGAACATGAAGTTTAGCCAAATAATTCATAAACATAGATATTATGTTTATGAATTATGAATTATGTTTATGGACATAAAGCAGCACAAGTAAATACCTAACTGATTTCATCAATATTTATCTATCTCTTGTTTACTTGATTAGAGAACTCACCACATGTGTCTGAGAAAGATATCCTACATGTAGCAGGAAGGCCTTACCAAGGAGGAGAATTTTGCTGTTTTCAAAATACCCTATTCTTATTCGATATCTGCTCCAGTACTTTGTAGCAAATGACTCCATGCTGCACCTGGCATGGAGGCAGGGTTGGGAGTACTGGACAGCAGGAGAAAGCTGTCTCTGTTTATTCAGTGAGACATATTAGAAGTCTGAATGTAAAATCTATTTCCAAAATACGCAGTTTCCTATGAGAGATACAGTGTTCCTCCAGAGCACTTGATGCAATATGGATAGTTTTTATTGTCTGTCACCAGAAAGATTACTTAAAGTAGCAATCAGTGATGTGCGGCTAGAAGGTCTTCAGTTTGTCTGATCTTTTAAGAAAAAGTTTTACATAGTTGACACCTTAATTTCACTCTAGGTGGCACATGTTTATTTTATATGACGTTCTTTCTATTCACTTCTATCCATCTAAATCACTTTGCCTTTGTATTTACAGTAGGTATTTTATGTTATTTATTGAACTGAGCTTATTATTCTTATGATATACTATGTGATTGTGAAAGGAACTGTTGGATAAGCATAAATAATGGTAGATTTAGTTATGTATGAATGCTTATTTGTAAATAAATCCATATTTTAAAATAGCAGAAATAAAGCGTATGGTTTAGCTCTCTAGAATACTAAAAAATAAATAACTTTGTAGAAGCTTGATAGCTTTTTTCATCAAAAATTGATGATATCAACAGGAAAGCATTATTAAATAGTAGAACTGAAGATGAGCTTTTATTATGCTTTAACACAATTTAACTCCTCACTGTGTAGAATTATCTATTATCTTTTACACACAATGAACGATTTGTTGACTGCAGCTGAACTGTGGGTTCAAGTTGCTCTCATCAAGTTTTGGAAAATGTATAAAATATTAGAGAACAAATTTTCCCTCTTGTTCCAATATTGGAAAGGATAATCATAACTAAAGAGGCACATCTTTTATCTAATGAGTTTATGCATTTTAATGTCATATAGCTGTTATTTTTGAGGACTGTTTCCAAGGTCATATTCTTTAAAATACAGTCTTTTGAATGTGTTAAAAGTGTGCTAGATCTAAATACTATTTCTGTGTATCTTGTAGTTGAAGTATTTACAAAAAGAAAATGAGAGAAACAAGAAAAACTAAAGGAAAAGGACCTCACTTTATATTAAAACTATGTAAAACCAGACAAATGGAAACTCGTTAACAAAACAAAGACAAACTTGATTTTATTATCAGAAATAAACACACTAATTCAAGAACCCCCTGCTTTATTGTCATTCAGCATTGTCAAAGCTGTACTGCTTGGAAATCCATTTTATCTTCTCTTCTTATCAACATTTATAGCCCCGCCAAAATCCGAAATGAAAGCACCTTTTGGACTTGTGACAATTCCTTACTGCCTTATTTATTTATTGTGTTAGAATACTGTTTTAGTTGATACTGCAGGGAAAAAAAAAAAAAAAAAAAAAAAAAGTTTTCTGATGTTATATTGTTTGCCATTTAACCACAAAGCTAATTTTGGTAATTAAGGAGTTAGTGGGACTGTGCTGGACACATGCCTTACTGAGCAGATTCTTTAAGAACCAGGATTTGCTAAAATCTTCATTTACAATTTGTTCTATCAAAGTTCAAAACAAAATTTCTGTAAAAATGTGGGTAACTTTCTGGGATACATTTGTGTTTGTGCATAATAAATGCTGTCGGTACTTGGCACCCCCTCCTGGCAAAAATCCGATGTTTGCAAATGAGGAAGAAAATATCTCAGTGTTCGTGAGCCAAGTAGAAGCTTAATTAACACTACTTAAGTAAGTCTTAAATAAATATATTTAATTTGTTTTTACTTTCAAAGTCTTTTGATCTTTGGACTTGAAGTATTTTAATGTAAGTAACTTAAAATGACATATGGAAATGTCAAGGTTTTATTTCATCTTTCCTTTTGCTCTTGATGCTAATGAGGCAAATGGCAGTAAAACTGAGAGGAATATGTCATCTTCAATTTATTTTGAAAACTAGAAATAAAGAACATTTTAATATGATATTAAACTTAAGTATGATTGTTGTTATTTTTAAAACCCACTGGGAAGTTGGTTGGGCACTTGGAACAGGCTCCACAGGGCAGTGGTCACAGCCCCAACCTGACAGATTTTAAAGAGCATTTGGACACTGCTCTCAGAACTATGAGTTGGATTCCAGGTGATCCTTTTTGAAGCCAAGAGTTGGGCTGGATGATACATGTGGGTATTTTCCAATTCAGGATACTCTTAAGATTCTGTGAATCTATTTTCTTTTCCAAATATTTCTATCCATAATTTTAGATTTCATCTGGGAAACTTCTTAGGTAAAATATACTAAATTGTCAGATGCTGTTATGAAATTATATGGAAGACTTACTAGCATACTTGAAAAAGCTCTTTGCTTCTTTTATGTTTTCTACCTAAACTGATTCTGTTTTTTAGGATCTCTGTTTAACAGAAGAAATGTAATATTTCTCTTCACATAAGAATCAATCACCTGATGGTTTAGTGAAACTATATTCTTCAGTAATCTACTGCTAGACATTGAATT